ATGTTTTATGGTTGCTCTATAGGGATATACCCATGGCAATTGCCAAGTTATTGTGTTTTGTGGTTATTTGTTTGAGGTCTCTAGTGGTAAGTGAATATTTTATTAATTTTCTAATCATAGTTATCATTTTAAATTGTATTGGTCTAAAACTAATACAATTTTAAATTAAATAGGTATATTTAAGTGCAATTTATAAACTTTCGGTTAGCATTGAAGGTAAAACATTAAAGGTGAATACATGCATGCATTTATATACCGTACCTTTATTTGCAAGCTATACATAGGCTCGAGGGTAACAAATGGGCTGATGGATTGGCCAAATTGTGGGGATCATAAGGAGACAGGTGAAATAGGCCCTAAATGATTAGGCTGATAAAAAGGCAAATGACAGCTGGAGGAGTGATGGCAAGCCAGAGACTTCACTTCTTTAGTTATATGTAGTTTTCTGTTCTATTTTATGTTTTCATAAAAATAAATATTTAAATTAAAGAATAAGACTTTTATTTTAAAACCCAATGTTATTTATTGAAAAGTAAATATCCATTGATTCACCATATCCAATACAGATGACAACCATATTGCATACAATACTATATCCACTGGGTATCCATTGGATATCCACACCATGTCCAGGAGGGTCGGACATTTATATATCCAATGGTTATCCATTGGATATCCATACAATCTCCATATTGAATACAGATTACAACCATATTGCATACAATACTATATCCACTGGGTATCCATTGGATATCCGCACTATGTCCAGGAGGGTCGGACATTTATATATCCAATGGTTATCCATTGGATATCCCGGATATCCTATGTATATCCTGGATATCCATAAAAGAAATCCATTGGATATCCATTGGATGTAATTGTTCCGTGTGGGCATATATCCTTCATTGAGTTATTTTCTATCGGTCTCAATAGAGAAAATGTAAATGTTATGGTGTGCTTATGGGTAATTTCCTATACATTTTCTATCGGGCCGTATCCGGCCATGGACAAATGCACATATTGAATCCGGTAGCGCCCGATAGATTATTTTGTATAGGTCTTTATGGGGTATTTTAAGCAGGGAACGTTTCTTGATATAAAATTTGCGGCTTTTACTGACTTTTAAATCTGCAGCCACTTCACTTAAAGACCAATTTTCTTTTAATTTGGCTGGACCTCTGAGCCTCTGAGTTAAGTGGGGTGGCATTTTTAATATTTCAATTGACAACTATTATCAAATTTGACAACTACCGACGATACTGATACAAAGCCCACCTATTACACGATTAAATTTTGCCGTTCACATTTCGGGGACGCCAATGAGGTAGTTAAATTTTTTCTGACCTATACTTTTTATGGTTTTATTCAAGGCGTTTTGTAATATTATTCATATCTGTGAAATCAGAATTTCAATTAAGTGTACCTTCCGTTTTCGAGATATTTACAAAAAATATAAATTTTTATGACGTCACAAACCTCGCCATGTGACCAACATTCTAAGATTTCTATTGGTTGAAAATTACCCTGTTGTCAAGTTGTCTTGTTAATGATTTCATTCGGTTATGTTAGAAAATACCCGAAGAGGTTATGTACAAATACTGTCACTGTCAGTTGAGTGAAAGATGGTCACCAAATTCATTAAGTACCTATCTTCCTTATTACGAGGTATCATATTACTGTTTGATATTTTAGAGTCCAAGATATATCTAAAAGAATATAAAGAACTAGGCATTATACTAATGAAATGCATTTACGACAAAATGTGATTATAATTATAGGTAGCCCAGTAAGCACAAATACGTCCTTAGGCTGTCCTCGGGACGTCAGCTTGGGACATTGCGGAAGTACTCAGGACGTCCCGCAATGTCCGTTTGACGTCCCTAGGAGGTCTACAGACGGCCAAATGATACACTTTCAGATGTCCGTAGGACGTCCTGATTAGGACTATGTCGGGATATACTCAAACCAGCTTATTAAGGTACTGTGAGGGCTTTTTGAGACTTTTCTTTGGAAATCCGCATGTTGTCATGATAACTATACAGGGTGTTCGGAATAGTGCCACTAGCACATTTAAAAGAAAATAGATTTTACCCTTAGCGGCTTGGCATCCATATTTGTTTCAGCCACCCAATATTATTGGATCTTGCTTTTGGTAGATTGTAAAGAAAACATTTTCTTAGCTTTACATTTGATCAGACTTACGTTGAACCAAAAATAAATAACGAAGCCGAAAACCTTGTGTTGCGGCCATGATACTTTCTTCTTCTTCTCTCCCCTTCTTCCGCTGACGGATATGACACTCCCCTAACGGATATTAAACTTACGCGCTAAATTCAAATATTTAAACGTTCCTTACTATGACACCAACAGTTGGCAAATTCGGCAACTTTTGGAGCACTTCGAGTAACGATCGGTACAAAACGGTGGCAGCACAGTCGAAGCCAGCCGTATTCAAATTCAAATATGATATTATGCGCAGAAAGCAAAGTTATGCAGAACGATAAATGACAGGTAACAAATGACAGGTAAGAAATGACAGGTGACAAATGACAGGTATGATAGGTGACAAATGACAGGTATGATAGGTGACAAATGACAGGTATGATAGGTGACAAATGACAGGTATGATAGGTGACAAATGACAGGTATGATAGGTGACAAATGACAGGTGTTGGAAAGTGACAGATATCTGCCGCCTTGTATAATATTACAGGTGACAAATGAAGGTGGCAAATGACAGATAAGAAAATGACAGGTGACAGATATTTGTCGCCTTGCATCATATGACAGGTGACAGATATCTGTCACTTTGCATCATTAGACAGGTGACAGATGATGCAAATGCTATACATTTTTTGCCTTTTGGAAAGACGGCATGAAGATATATATATATGGTATACTATTGCCATTTTAATTCTATGACGTCCTATGGACGTCCAAGGTACGTCAGAAATGGGATACCCAATATACTATACCCAATTTAATTTCAGGACGTCCCATGGACGTCCTAGGTACGTCAGAAATGGGATATCCTAAACTGGCCCGGACAGACCCAATCAGGATGTCCTTGGGAGGTCGTGTGCTATATGGGTAGGTACTTACTTTATTTGTTTAAAAGCTCCAATGTTCATTGTAACCAACCATTCCACAAGATTCCTCTGCTTTGGAGTCCGTTATCAATAAATCACTTATCTAATATCAATTACAAATAACATAACAATAACATTGATTTTCAATAATCTAAATTTAAAAAAAAACATAACCCGAAAAAAAGAAACGTCAAAAAATCAATTCTTCTTCTTCTTCTCAACTAAAATTATAGATCAAGTGGTTTTAAAACTAAAATATTATAACGTGGCGCCATCTATCGTAAGAATCTTAAACTAAACACACTGGCAACCATAGAAAAAGCTGGCAACGTTGTCAATAGCCTAGTGACGTAATTAGGATATTTTGTTTTGTAAATATCTCGAAAACGGTAAACTCAATTGAAATTCCGATTTCACAGAAATGTTTAAAATTACAAAACGCCTTGAATAAAACCATAAAAAGTATAGGTCAGAAAAAATTTAACTACCCCATTGTAGGTAGGAAATTAAAGGAGTTTTTGATCTGCTGCAGCGTGAACCCCTGGCAGTTCAAAAGAAAATGCCGCTGTTAAAAATTTACAAAAAATATATGAAAAATTTGACTTAAATATTTTTTAAAAAGACTTAATTCTTTTTTTGACTTAAATCGTTTCTATCTGACTTAAATCATATGAACTGATTTAAGTCTTTTATTAATGACTTAAGTTTTTTCTATTTTGAAAAAATATTTAAGTCACAAATCATTTTGAATTTTAAGTCAGTTTTAGAGAAATGACTTATTACCAAATGACTTAAGTCATTAAAACGATTTAAATCAAAAAAACGATTTAAGTTTTCTGAGAGCTTGCAGCTCTGATTGGACCTTACCCAAAATAACACGGAATTCTTTCTGTGAATAGTTGGAATGATTTCAGTGGAAAATGTACTGTTTTGTAATGTTTATTCATATATTATATCACGAGAACTATGAATTTAATCGGTTAAACTAGGCTCAGTAGTTTTTTGTTTGGTTTTTGTTGGAAAATGTTGAATGCAAAATAATTTAATAAAATCACGAGACCGCGTAGCGGTGGAGGGGTTTTATTTTTAATTATTTTGCATGAAACTATTTTCCAAAAAGAAAAATCAAATAAAAAACTAACTGAGCATAGTTTGACAGATTAAATTTATAGGTTGAGTGATATACGTCTAGATTATTTCTCGAATTAAAGGAAACTATTTGACAATTAATAAAATCTGACGTATGTGTCAAAATTTATAAATATTTTTTTAAAGAAAATTCCATTAATTTAAGGTACCGTAAACACGGGTGGCTTTAGCTCACTTTAAAAAACTTAATCTTAACATTTTTGTAGTTTTAACAATCATAAACATTAAAGTATTTGCACTAATGCAATATAATATATATTATACAACTTTAAAGTGTAATAAATCCCATTTATTTTTTTAAAACACTGATTTTCCTGTAATATAAACTCAATAGAATCGCTCAATTGACAGGTTTAGACCAACAAATTATAAATGTTAATTTTATCAAGCGCGAAAAATTTTTTCATAAAAGGGCTAAAGTCACCCGCGGGGTGCAAAGTCACCCGTGTTTACGGTATGTAATAAGTAATTTGATATTTCGACTAGATAACTTATTTTTTATTGTTTTTTAAAAAATGTTTGTTAAAACTTGTAAATAACACCATAAAATCGTAAACAAAAATCCAATATGGAGGCTAAAATTTAATCGCTGTTAAATAGTTCTAGTGATTTAATCGCTTATTTAAACGAAATTTATTCGAAAATTCAAGGCTTTTGATTGGTTCATATTATAATGAGGGAAATAATCTTTAATAATTTTATTTCAATACTCTAGGATAGGTAGACAAGTAAAGGTTATACATACGTAAATTAAAAAAACCGTTAGAGATCATTTATACTTTTACTTAAGTGTACAGTTTAAAGAATAAAGTACATTAACTTGAGGTGCACAGGTACACTAGATACTAAATAAGGCTATTTACTTTACAAACATTGCAATCGCAACTGTCCTGAGCATTTTTGACAGATTAAACTCAAGCTAATAATTATAAAAAGTTAAACTCTGAGAGCAAACGCAATGCCTTCCGAATGAAAAAACTTTTCTTTATATTGACTCCTAAGATTATCCTGACGTAAAAAAAATTATATTGTTAGTTCCTTTGAAAGGCAAAACGTCGATGCGTGCCGTGCGTCTCTCGCAAATCATTAGAAATATTGTCGAATTAGTATTTACAAATCAACTAATTACATACATGGCATAATTCGCACTTAACATTGACTACTGTTCACGAATACTGTTTATTGTAGCACTTAACACAATTAAAAATTAACAAAAACAAATTTTAAAAAATGTCTTTCCATCATATAAAACTTTTAAATATCATATAAAATCTTTGTCCCTGAAATTAATTTAAAAAAATTAACATTGACATGATTAACACATTATTTACAATAAAATTTTTAAAAAAATACTTATAAAACCGATTCAATTTGTTTTATTTCATTTGGACTTGAAGCGGTCTCCACAATTTGGGGGATCAGCCTGTGGGTGACGCTGCTGTTGTTTCCCCCACCCTTTCCCATGGTGATTGGCTCGTCCTCCTCCTCGTCCTCATCGATAGGAGTGAGGGCATCCCCGTCGCCCATCTGGGGCTCATCCTCCGGCGAGAAACGTTTCAAGCAGGGCGCTATGAAGCTCGTAAGGGCAGAAACGGCGAAAAATCCACCGGCCACGAAAAACGGAATCGCGTAACTCCCAGTCATGTCGTATAAGGCACCAGCCAGCGGCGTGCCGACGATTGCGGCGCCGCCGCGGAACAAAATCAGCAAGCCGAATGCGTTTGTTAGCTTGTCTAAACCCAAAAGGTCTACTAGAATAATTGAAGTGAGCGAAATATAGCCGGCTGAAACAAAAAACGAAACTATTAATTAATTACATAATTACATATTATGTAAAAATATTATATTTTCTAAAATAAAACCTTAGGTTCTCTTAAACTCAGTGGCGGCTAGTCAGGGTAGGCTTATGAGGCCGCGCCTCACCCTAAAAATGAAGGAACGAACGACTTTGTATTTAACTTTACAAGTGTACTTTACACGCTACACAGGTAAGGTTGTAGGTAGTATTGAGTTTAAATTAAGGTTAGGTTTTCAAAATACCGGTAGGTTTTTATTAGTTAAATATTCCTGATTTTTTTTAATGAATCCTGTTCATGACATCATCCTCTTAATAACTGAAACACCTTTTTTTAAGAAGGAACGAAACTGAAAAAAGATATGGGCAGTTGTCCAACGCCAAAAATTTCATCAATATTTAAAGATAAGAGGCAGGGTAAGCAATATTCACGAAGTTTTATATGTTCTGCTTTAGTTTTCAACGGGCGTTATATGTATTAATGGTTTTCCGGGATCTGCTCCGTGTTGTCGGTTTTTGGTTCTTAAAAGAACCGTATGTCTGACGACGTTTTGGTACAATCTCATGTACCATCTTCAGGTCTTATCTGCTGGGATGCTTTTGCTGCTCTGCTGCGAGTTGGACGTGGAGTGAGCTCCGTTGCCTCTGATCGTTGTTTATATACCCTCTTAGCTTTCCGCGTCATTAACGGTGACTGCGATTGAACCTGTGTTATGTTCGGCTCCATTGATCTCATTAATCTGCGTGGCGTTTTGGTGGTTTAATTTATGCAATACGTTGTCATTGGCAAAACTAAACCAGCTATAGTTCTATGAGAGCAGCTATTTAATGAGTTATTTTGTATGTATTTGTTCTGTTTGTTGTGCCAAAACCTACGTTATTTATATTAAAAATTAATTAAATCCAATAGTTGGTTTCAAATGCTAAGTACTAACATTAGCTATCACGTTTCCATCAAGTCAAGATATAAATGTTGCGTAACTTCCACCATTATTAATTACGTGAGATAAAAATGGTGGGAAGGGGTCTAGCAAAATCTCAACAAGTCTCATTTTAAGGGAAGGGGGTCATTTAAAATCTTACGTCAACTTTTGTGTTTAAAGAATATGTATTGTAATTTAAATTTGTTTAAAAAAAATAATCAATTTTTTTGGGGGTTTATCAGGTTGTCCGTAAAGAAAGTTTATTGGCAACAATCTCACGTGAGGGATGGGGGGGTCTACCACATCTTACCAAATCTCACCAAGGGGGAGGGGGTCCAAATTATCAGAAAAATGCCTCAAGTAATTAATGGATGTCCTTACCTACCAATAAATTATAAAATTATTAAATAAAGTGGAATTGAGGTAGGATGAAAGTTTAAAAATAAAACGAGATTAAAAAGCCAAAAAGTTCATACAGGAAAGGAAAATACAATAATTAAATCCTTTGGTATTAAATTAATTAATTAATTATTGTTTAACTATTACTTAGTTAGTTTTACTAATATATTAACTATAGTTAATAACTATAACAATTATTTTTCTTTATTTGTGCAAATTTCACTTAAGTGGATTTACCGGGTTTTAATACCAAAATAATTGATTCGTTGAGAATAAGTCCAAAAATTTAATTTTGTCAAGTAATTTTCTAAAATCAATTTTAAACTTCAAAATGCATTTTTGTGGAAAGATATAAATCATTTGACAGAATATGAATCTTATATTTTATAAAATAGTTAAAATGTGCCCACAAAAATGAATTTAGAACAATAAAACTGATTTTTTGAAATATTTTGACAAAATTTTAACTTTTGGACTTGAACTGTTCTTAATCTCACCGATTCAATTATTGTCTTTTCCTTTCTTGTTGCACTTTTTTCAGCCTGCCTCAATCCCACTTTATTTAATAATTTTATAATTAAGTGGGAGGTAACTTACCTCAGGTAAGTTACGCAAAATTTCTTAACTTGATGGAAACGTGATAGATTATGTTTTTTTGTTGTTGTTTAGGTAAGATGTTGTTTAGTTTGTAGGCTAAGCATATAAAAGGCTAACATTGTTCTAATATATTTTCTTTCCAAGTGAGGCGTCTATCTATGGTAACTCCTACTCTCTAAAAATGAATTAGTCAAAGTGAAAAAGCAGTCACTAATAACTGTAGTCCACAGCTACTTGTATCCCGGATATTTAAAAAATTGTCCCCTGAATTTGAAAAGATCATCAAAAATTATTATAGTAGAGCAGTGTTTGAGATATACTCAATTCCATATTATCTGAAAAATTTACTATATCACAAAAACTGTTCCACTTTTATAAAAGTGGAACAGTTTTTTAAATAACTTTTGACGACATTTTCGAATTCAGCGGACAGTTTTACATAGGAATTGACTGCTAAATGTCCGGAATACAAATTGCTGTTGACGAGAATTATTAGTAGCTGCTTTTTCGCCATGATAATTAGTTACTTTTGACTAATTCATTTTTAGAGAGTATGTATTGAATTTGCTGTGCTTCTTTTAAGGTTTTGCTATTTAGTTTTATTGTTATTTTGTGTGTCTTTGGCCTTGTTAGATTATAAAACATATATTGAAAAATATAATATATTATTATAATTACATATTTTATTAAAGAGATGCATAATAGTATATTCTGTAACAAGTTTGGAATACAGCATATTCCGCTCGAGTGAAGAGTTTGCCACACGAGCCGAAGGCGAGTTTGACGGTTTCACGAGAGCGGAATATGCGTTTCCAAAAAATACCATAGAAAAATAATTTAATTGGAAGAAAGTGAGGTTGGATCGGTCTAAAATTTGTTAGATATTAAAAACAGGGATGTCGCCACGAGTGTTTATTCTGTCATCCGATGATAGAATATTTCATTCTGTAACACTTTTCGGAATATATGTCAAATTCCGTAATGGGAGTAGAAAAAACTATATAAATACTCACCGACAAAAAAAACCGGCACCTAAATTTTTTTGACAATTTTTACTTGGCATAACTTTTTTTTTTTTGATTTTACTGCAATGATTTTTTGCTGTACTATAGATCCATTCATTTAGATTGCGCTGCAGTTTGTCCTGATGAAATTTTGGTTGCTTGAATTTTTATATACCAGGGTAGGTCTAAATGATGATTTTAGTCGTAAGTTTAAAACATCCTTTGGAAAAAACATGCCACTCAACCCTGTTCCAAACTAATTTACGATAAATCTGGATGTTATTAGTAGTTAGTATTTGTTTTTTATATCATCTGGCCATCTCGTTTCTTTTACGAGTTACAAATTTTTAAATGAAACAACGCTACATTTAAAAATATTTTTTACTTCAAACATTTAAAGTTGTATTTAAAGTTGTCATTAGAGCACAAAATGAAAGTTAATATCGGGTGTGTCCACCTCTAGCCGCAATCACAGCCTGCATTTTTCGTGGCATCGAATCAATTAGATTGATTCTTTTTTCTTGTGGAATAGCTTCGTATTCTTCATTTAATGCTAACCTGAGGGTGACGAACGCATCTTTTTAATTCACCCCAAAAATGCTGAATTGGGTTGAGATCTGGGCTGCAGGGTGGCCATTCCAACCTCCGAATTCGAACTTCATCCAAAAATTCATTTACTAGATGCGCAACATGCGGTCTGGCATTGTCTTGAATAAGTATGAAAGGGCCAAATGGAATGACAGCTTTATGTAGTATATCTTCAATATATCTGTGGGCATTAAGGGCTCCATTTTCTACAAATATTAAGTTTGTACGTTCTTCTATACAAATTCCCGCCCAAACCATCACAGATCCGCCATGAAACGAGAGCCGCTCTGATATTGTACAGTCAGCAAACCGTTCATTACGTCTTCGGTAAATTCGCTGACGCCCATCTGGCGATCGAAGACTAACTCTTGATTCATCCGTAAACAATACGTTTCGCCACTCTTGTTTTGTCGAATTAACATGCTGTCTTGCAAATCTTAGTCGATTCTGACGATGGCGAGGAAGCAATTGAGGTGCTACAACAGATCTGCGGGAATTCAGCCCAGCTTCCTTTAACCGTCTTCTTATGGATATTTCACTAACTTTTTTTCACGTACCTGTTGTAGGTCATATTTTAGTGAACTGGCAGTGGCTCCTCGATCCCTTAGTGATTGTAGCAATAAGAAACGGCTCTCAGCTAAGGTGGTTGATTTTTCCCTTTCGGATCCTGGCCTTCTGGCATAATTTCCCGTCTCAAGATATCTATTCCAAGCCTCTTGTACAGTTGTGAGCAATACCTCAGTAGCAACAACATTCAAAAATCGCTTTCGGTCGGAGTCATACCTCCGCCTAGAATATTAATCAATGTAAAACGGTGGTACTGATCCAATGCACGTGATGGTATACCATCTTCTAATAAAGCTACGATACCCCATCTGCAGTGGTTAACACCATTTTTGTTAATATTGACTACGTCACAGTAAATTAATCAGTTTTTCAAATTAATCTAACAAAGCTAAGTTGATTATTTTGATTGACATTGAAAAAATGCAGCGCTTCATTTAAAAACGCGTAGCTCGTAAATTAAACGAGATGGCCAGGAACATATCCAGATTTATCGTAAATCAGTTTGGAACAAGGTTGATTGGCATTTTTTTTCCACAGAGTGTTTTAAACTTACGACTAAAACATCATTTTGACCTACCCTTGTATATAAGCATTCAAGCAACCAAAATTTAATTAGGAAAAATTGTAGCGCAATCTCGATAAATTAATCCGTGGTCCAGCAAAAAAATAATTGCAATAAAATCAAAAATAAAAAAGGTATGCCATGTCAAAATTGTCAAAAAAATTTAGGTGCCGGTTTTTTGTCGGTGAGTGTACATAAAATATAACAAATCGAAACAAAATATAATAATTTTTAAAAAAACAATATGAACCCAAGCAAATTGAGAAAATAAAAAATTATATTAAACTTATATAAGTTAAATTATACATTTTTAAAATTGGTGAATATACTTAATATAGATTAGTGTAAG